TTTTCAATGCCTTTGTCGAAGATATTTCATGTCCCAACCTAGATGCATTAACGCACGGTCAAAGGACAGCCCGCTCGAAATCACCCATCGACATTACGTCCCCACCCCACCGTTCTCCGTTGATTAATTGGACGTGGCCGTGTTAATTTATCGAAGTACCGATTGTTGTTGTTATTATGACCGTCGATGTTGTCTGTCGCACAGGGGTCGGGAACGCGTTCCGAGAAGGGCGTGACAAGTCGGAAATCCGTGCAAGAAACGCAAGTTTCTCTGAACTCCGTTTTCGTCGATGTTCGATCGACATTAGCGCGCGCTTAATTGCTTCGTCGCGATTGTTGTTCGACGACGCAGGAGCTGTTTTCGCTGCGAACAAGGAAAAAGAGTTGAATCCCAACTCGAAATATCGCGGCGGTTAGCGACGCATAAAGGCCCCGTCCGGTGCTTTGTCAGTTTCGGGAGGGGTGTTACACGCAATTTGCCACACTTTCCAGTAATGACTCCGTGGGACCCTCCGGCCTGTTTTATGGGCATCGTACCGGGTGTGCATAATTTACAGTCCAATGGCTGGGCTCGCAAGGCAACGTGAATCTTCGGCCCGGCGGTGGAAGCGGCGAGACGCCGGGAAAGAAGGAGGTGAATCACAATTTTCGGATCGTAAAATCGCGGGGACGCGTCTGTGTCTTCTCTGCCGCGATAAAGATACATTGTACCGAAACTCCAGGACATAAAACCGATGGCGGTGGAAGCAGCGTCGAAGGATCAATTGAATTTCGCTCGAGTATACGACGCGATGTTCACGAACGTACGGTTTCGGTACGATTATGTCGTCGTGTACCTTTCTCCCACAACAGAGAACGTTGTTCCCTTCCACCGGGAGCGGCTGAATCGAACTGAAACATTCTCGGTGCATCCGCGGGTACTTACACGGCTCCGTGAGAAGCTAATTAGCGTTCGCAGGAGAGACCCAAGTTTCTTGAAAAAGTAGAAAAATATTTCATTTTCATGTTGACGAAGATCATGCGCCTGAAATTAAAAAATTTAAAGGATATCTATTAAAACCTACCAAAAAAAGCATCGAAAATAATTAATTTAGCTTGCCTGGCACCCTGGTTTTCTCTTTTAACTTGACTTTCACGAAGATTCATCGAGGTGGAGGCCAGACAAGACCGTTCGAAGAATTTTTGTTATCGCGTAACGTGTTATCATTAAGATACACATCGTAACCGTGTGAAAACGCGAAAGCTCTACGTCAAGACCGTTCGGTAGGAGGAACGTACGCTGAAAATGCTCGCCGAGTCGGGTAATTTCATTACACATACGTGATGCGGACGTCCTACGCTCCTCTTCAGGCGGATGGCGAACGAGAGAAAGCGCGCGTGGGAACCTCGGATAATTTGATAAAGACTCGTGCCGGCGCGAGATGCTCCATAGGCTCGATGAAATTCCTTATTCCGGTCGCACGCGCGCTCGGATGGCTTTTAAATTCCGTTGGCCCCTTTGACGGGGCCCGCTTTCGAAACTCCGGCATAACAGCCACGTAAATCAGAAGTTTGATACGTTGGACCGACCGAGAAGCATAAATCACGACCAGGAAATTATATTCCCTGAAGGAGACGTGTCTCCTCTATGAAGGTCGACGAATCTACTTCGAAATTAAGAGCAAGGGTCTCAGCCTTTCCACCTGTCCAATCTCGTATAGTTTGGAAATTTATGTTTCAGGCGCAATTCATCATCTAGGGAACGAAAAGATCGGAAACTGAAGCAGAGGGATCCCTTTCTCGACTGATTTCGTGAGATTTCGAGGATTTCGTCGGTTCAAATTTACCTAAATGCCAAGAATAGTAGTAAATACTATTTTTTGACTATTTACTTTTGTCGCATAATGTTTTTAAATTATTGTTTTTATTAAAAAATTGAATGACCACAGGTTCTTGCGAGGTATCCTGAAATGCATGCACGTGACGTAATAGTCACGTGGTTAGACTAAGTTGTTTATGTGGTTTGATTCAAAAGAAGCTTCAGCGTTTCTGTTTGCACGTGTAGTTTCTGTTTTTTTGTATTCGATTGTTTGTGAAGAATGTCAAGATATATACTCTAAAGTACAGTACGGCAAATACGGTACATTGTGGTACAAAGGTGACCACGGTAAGTTTAATTAAGGTACGATAAAGGTGGGGAACTCATATGTTATATTTGTGCTGTCAAGTGCTTCGCATTTCATTAATTATCGATAACTGATGATCGTGGCTTATGTGATTACTGCAGTAATTGGATACATCATTTATCTAGTGATTAAATTCAACGTCGAAGAGTGGTTCAAAGAAAGCAGGTTTGTAATCACACACGTGACAATTTCCCGCGATGAGGTTATGTTATTCTGTAGTTGACTCTGTAGGTTGCTTATCTAAATTCTTTTCATCACTTTTATAATGGTTTAAATGTTTAGCCGTAAGAATTGGTGAACAGTTATACTTATGATTGCAGAATGAGTAAACTGAGTCTTAAGAAAGATTATATGAGCAACAAAACACTCAAACAATTTGAAAGCGATTCAATGTCTAGCCCAAGAAGTGCAATTGAGATTTCTAGTGATGAAAGTGATACTTCAAAAGTTGATGACATATTAAATTGTGATGTAGATTCAGAAGATATATCGATATTACATGAACAGTCTCATGATGAGACTCTGCTGAAGTTTACGAAATCTACAGATAGCGTACAAACGGAGGAGGATGAGGAAAATTCAATGTTTGCATCTACCTCGGGCATAAAAGCCAAACATTCTATGTTTAGTTGGGATCAGAAAAACACAAATCTGAACAAAAATAATAAACAAACATATAGTGATTCAGATTCTGATGATATCTACCAAAATTTCCAAAGGCATAATAACAAACAAGGGAAGAAGCTCAAAAAGACTGATACAACAGAATTACCATGCAAAAGTGAACATACAGAAGATGTTTGTCCTGAAGTAGCTATACAATATGAACAAATGATATCAGGAATTAAAGTGAAGCTTCCCGTAAAACCATATTCTTGTCAAATTGCTATAGTAAATAAGGTAACGTATCAAATATTATTTCTTAATTCAAATGCGTAATAAAATCCATAAACATATATTGTTTAATAATATATATAATTACAGCTTATACAAGCGTGCAAAGGAAAAGAAAATTGTCTTTTGGAAAGTCCAACTGGAAGTGGAAAGACACTAGCTCTTCTCTGTGGGGTGCTCGCATGGCACGATCAGTACTCTGGTAAGTCTGCAATGATTCAGTAAATTTATTATTAATTAGACAATATATCCTGAGTGTTTGTGCATTTAAAATTACTTGATCATGCAATAATGATTATTCATAGAAATCAGCCGATAAAGTTTTCGGGGATTATGCAAGTTTTCAACGTTACCAGCCATCTTTTCAAAGTAACCATTGACTTTATTAAATTTTCGCTGAATCGCGCGACGTTCTTCAGTCAAAACTTTAAAAACTCTTCCAGACAATATCTCAGCGTGTCACGACAACGTCCGCCGCTCGTGAAAGATGCAAAATGATCACGTCGAGTAGTTCTTGTGTCTAAATTGGTCGCTATCGTCCGTCTCTGGAAACTTGCGACGCGTTCGAAACTTCCCCTAAACTTTCCCTTTCCCCGTCACGCGAATAGGAACTTAATTATTTAAAGTATTCGAACGTCACCACGCAATAAGTTAGAAAACCTATGAAGACCAAGCATGAACAATTAAGAACAACTACAAGATGAATATATTAGAATACTGTATTCACAAAATTGAACCAACTGATCTATGGAATTTAACTTATCGGTAGCTATGTTGGATTTGGCACCGAGATATTTTTAGCAACGAAATTTGTCAATTAACGATGTTATTGTTTCTAATAATTCACATTAAAAGATACCATATTTAATCGGACATTAGTCAGTGCCTTTTAATGAATCCCAAATTATTAATGAAGAAATTCAGTCGTCGCTACTAGAAACATAATAATGCACTCAGAGGCATGATAAACGATGAACATTAGGTATTTCGCGATCGGGAATCTTTCATGCGCGGATCACGTGGCTTGTGCCTAGATATCAAGCGTGTAATCAAGGAGTTTCAGCCGCGGACAAGAACATTAAAGAAGTTCTTCGTTGTCCTCCGGCAAAGAACCGGCTATTAGGCATCCGAACCATCGTATTAATTTAAATTATTCAACCTTTCCTCCCGGTGGGGGTTCCGTGTCGGTCGTGTGCATGCGGCTAATTGGCCGCGATTCACGCAATTCCTAAACAATTAGGCTCGAAGCTCTGCGACGCCGTAGCCTCGTCCTTGGCGGTACCAGCTCGCGAAAGGGGGACGGCCCAACGGTCTTTTTGGCGAACGCTCGTTGGAAACGTAATTTCGTGG